CTCCCTCCCTCCCTCCCTCCCTCCTTCCCTCCTTCCCTCATTCAGTGCTTTGCGTCCACGGATGGCCAGCTTGGGTGATGCACACCCAAGAGCAGAAATGGGGCTGGACACCTCAAGGTTTCTGTATGTGTCTCTCGCCAACACGAATGAGTTGTTAGAAGTGAAACCCATCCTCGTGAGAGCTACCACCATCCTCCCCACCCCAGCCCTAGCACTAGTTTACGGGAACCAGCATCGTGTTTCATCATGGAAATTGTGAGCATCTGAGCAGGCAACTTGCTGGCTTGCTAATCTTTAGAGTCCCAGGTGCTCAGCTCTGCACCCCAGTACCTGGGCAGGGCCTGCCTGGCCCGTAGGAGGAGGGGGGGACGGTGGGTTCGCAGGTGACAAGTGACTACGTAAGTCATCATGGCCACGTCTGGATGGGTTGCCTTCAGCTGGCAGCATCTCAAAGGGCTGGTAGGGCTGGGGTTCCTTCCTCCCAGCCTGTGTGTGGGGGGCGGGGAGGTGAACAGTTCAGCCTGGGGTCTTTCCACGAAAGACCCTTAGCGAATGCTCGTAATTCTCAAAATGCCTGTTTACAGCCGCATCCTGCAGGATGGGCTGCTGTTTTTTGGCACGAGTGAGGGTGGGCGTGTGTGTCTCAGAGCAGCTGAGTTTTGCCAGAGCCGGGCAGGTGTCCCTGGCTTCACACAGGCGACCTGAGGGCAGGCGTGCCTGGTGAGCTGCCTTCTGGGGGCGGCCCTGGGAGTCAGTTTGCCTACAGCTGGCGTGCTGGCCTGTCTCCAGGTTACGCGGGGCACCGAGTCATCATCTTCCTGGCATATTCCTCCAGCATGTTGCTAAAACGTGGAGCCAAGTGTGGAAGGAGATTCTTTCCCTTCTCTTTTTGTATAGTAATCTTGGTGTGACCAGCACCCTTGATAGCATGTGGGGTGGGAAGACACTGGGTTTCAGAATAAGATGGACCTGGTTCAAGGCCAGACTCAGCTGTTTCTCACATCTTGGCAAACTCGGGTGCTTTATTCAGCTGTCCTGAGCTTTCCACTCTCACCTGCAGAATGTCAAAGTGATAACACTACTTGTTGCTCTGTATTTACTTTTTTAACTTAAATCTTATTTTAAAAACGAATCCTACCTTTTGAAATAATTTGGGCTTGGCGACAAAGCATCTTTGATTTGGACCACAGCTTCTTAGACGCCTCAGCTGTGTTTCCCCCTTTCATTGAAGGATGAAAGCCCCAGGTGGGGCTGTGGTTCTGACCCAGTGAAGATGCCTTAGAGAAAGACATTCTGGGAAGAGTGGATGGGTGTGGGCGTGGCCTTGACAGTGTGGGCGTGTCTTTCCCACAGGTGCTGCGAGTGGCTGAGATGCTGTGGTGCAGGGGAGCCCAGGCCCCGCACGGTCTGGTTGGGGCACCCCGAGAAGAGGGACCAGAGATACCCTCGAAATGTCATCAACAATCAAAAGTACAACTTTTTCACCTTTTTGCCTGGGGTATGTACGCGCAGGGGCAACATCGTTTTCTTCTTCCTAAACCAGATGTATGCAGTGGTACCAGTCTTAGAAGACTGAAGTCCCTGTGGCAGACTTTGTGAACACCCCGTCTTTTCCATGTCACCTCAGCCACTGGCCATCCATCTTCCCTGGTCCTGAGCACCTGGAAGGGGGCTGCCTTCTGTCTGCAAGGCTGTGAGACTCCACTTGATTGGTTAGAATAACTTCACATTTATTTGGTGTGTTGGGCCTAAGAGTGAAAAAGATATTTTGAGGACGTAACTTTGTTCCAAAAAAAAAAGAAAATCAGGAGAGGACTTCCCTGGTGGTACAGTGGTTAAGAATCTGCCTGCCGGTGCAGGGGACACGGGTTCGAGCCCTGGTCCAGGAAGATCCCACGTGCCGTGGAGCAACTAAGCCCGTGCGCCACAACTACTGAGGCTGCGTGCCGCAACTACTGAAGTCCATGCGCCTAGAGCCCGTGCTCTGCAACAAGAGAAGCCACCGCAATGAGAAGCCTGCACACCGCAACGAAGGGTAGCCCCTGCTCACCACAAGTAGAGAAATAAATTTATTTTTTTAGAAAATCAGTGCTTACATTCCCTCCCACCCCTCATTATCATGAAACACATATTTGGAACAGGAAAGTTGGGAGATAAAAGTGTAGAGAACCTTTTTTTTAAAGGTAAATTTTAACACTATCATCCAGAGAGACTTTCTGTTAACATGTTTGCTAATGTGTTTTTGTTTTTAATTGAAGTCACTTTTTTTCTTTTTTTAATTTATTTTTGGCTGCGTTGGGTCTTTGTTGCTGCGCGCGGGGGCTACTCTTCCTTGCGGCGCGCGGGCTTCTCACTGCAGTGGCTTCTCTTGTTGTGGAGCACGGGCTCTAGACGCGCGGGCTTCAGTAGTTGTGGCACGCGGGCTCAGTACTTGTGGCTTGCGGGCTATAGAGCGCGGGCTCAGAAGCTGTGGCGCACGGGCTTAGTTGCCCCGCGGCATGTGGGATCTTCCCGGACCAGGGCTCGAACCCGTGTCCCCTGCATCGGCAGGCGGACTCTCAACCACTGCGCCACCAGGGAAGCCACAAGCTCAGTATCTGAAGTCCAGTGAAAGTTTATTTCTCATTCATGGAAATTCTGAGGCAGATCAGGCCATTCTCCTCCATCTCACAGCTACATTATCTGGAATACGCGGGCACCCGTGTCTCCATGGCAGGGCAAGAGCAAGGGGCCGGACAGCGCTCTGAAGGGACACATCTTTTCTGTTCGTCGTCCAGAAGGAGTCAGGGGGATCAGTGTCACTTCCAGGGCACGTGGGGGCAGTTGAAACTCTTCCAGAACCCTCCTGCCACATGGGATGAAATTGTGCCGTAGTTATTGTACGGCGTTAGGATCATGCCATGGAGATATCCATTTATCTCACTCGTTTGATTCAGTCTTACAGCATAAGCATTTCCCACTAAAACCTCTTCAGCAACATTTTGAGTGGCCTTTCCTGTACTTACAAAATAGTTTAAGAAGGGACTTCCCTGGCGGTCCACTGGTTAAGACATTGCACTTCCACTGCAGGGGGGGCGTGGGTTCGATCCCTTGTTGGGGAGCTGAGATCCCACGTGCTGCTCCGCGTCACGTGGCCAAAAAATAGGAAAAAAACAGTTTCCGACTTTCCTGGTGGCGCAGTGGTTAAGAATCCGCCTGCCAGTGAAGGGGACACGGGTTCGATCCCTGGTCCAGGAAGATCCCACAGGCCGCGGAGCAGCTAAACCCGTGCGCCACAACTACTGAGCCTGCGCCCTAGAGCCCGTGCTCCGCAACAGGAGAACCCACGGCAATGAGAAGCCCGTGCACAGCAACGAAGACCCAACGCAGCCATAAATTAAGAAAAAAAAAAAAGTTTAAGAAATAAAATCTCACAACTATAGCCGAAGCCTCCAGCATACCCTCCCTGCCTGGAGGTCCCCACTGTCTTGAATCTGGTGTTTATAATTCCCACGTGTATCATTTGCTTCTTTACTTTGACAAATTATGTTTTCGTCACCCAGGTGTATTTTCCTATACAACACGTACAGGTGTGTAAACGGTGTATGCAGGTACCATGTGAGTTCTGTTCTTCTGGGGGAGTGTTTTGAAATGTCACTCATCCGCCTCTAAGCCCGCCCAGCTGCGTCAGACCAGCCTCAAGTGTCCTCTCTCCTCTCTCTCCTTTCCAGGTGCTGTTTAACCAGTTCAAATACTTCTTCAACCTCTACTTCCTGCTTCTCGCCTGCTCCCAGTTCGTCCCCGAGATGCGACTGGGAGCACTGTACACCTACTGGGTTCCCCTGGTGAGTCAGTCGGGTCGTCCGGCCAGTAACATCAGAGGTCGGGCAGCACAGGTTCTTTGTCCTCGAAGCCCCTGGAGTGGGACTCGGCCTTTCAAGGGAGAGGACACCCTCAGGCCAACACGTTGGGAACCCCTGAGGTTTTCATGGTGAGGCTCCGTTTCTCCCACTACCGGCATCAACCGTAGTGATGCCTGTGCTATACTCATTCCTTCCGTCTGCCAGCTGTTCAGCCTTTCCTTGTTTCAGCAAGTATTTTTTTGCATGCCTATAATGAATCACTCGGTTCTAGGCTCTGGCACACGGCGGTCATGAGAAAGGCAAAGCCTCCGACTGTGTGCATTGTGCTCTTTGAATCGTTTTCTGTTTATTATGTAGAGACTCTTTCAGCGTGCAGGGTTGACAGAGGAACAATTCTGTGCTTCAGTGTGCATGGAGGGTGACAGACCCGACGCCCCTCCATCCTTCTTGTGCCGCCTTTTCTTTCTTCCTGCCTTTTGGGAAATGGTTATTGAGCACCTGCTGTGTGCCAGCCACGGTGCTGGGCACTGGGGGTGCAGCAGTGACTGAAACGTAGAAAAATTCCTGCCCTCGCGGAGTTGACTTTCAGCGGGGACAGACAGTAAAACAGTTGAGCGTAATTGTTTCAAGTTGTGAAACTGCTGTGAAGGTCGTAGGGCAGATGGGGCATCCCAGGCACAGTTAGTATTTGTTGAGTGGATGAAGGTGGGAGATGTGGAGGGGCAGTCTTAGCCAGGGTGGCCGGGAAAGGCCTCTTGAGGAGGTGATGGGGAGAAAAGTAGGAGGGTGGGAGGATCCCAGGTTCAGGGAGCAGCAGAGCAAAGGCCCTGCATTCAGCACACGCTTAGAGTATTGGAAGAACAGAAAGAAGCCCAACGCGTCTGGGGCACAGAGAGGGTGAAACTGACATTTCCTTTCCTCCAGAGACATTATGAAATATTATTTTTCATTACGCAGGGCTCAGAAGGAACACTTGGATTCTCTGTTCACAAATCTTGTTAAATTTTTCATTGGGAGAAGATTGTTAAAGTAGAAAAGATGTTTCCTCCTTAAGGAAACAAAAATTACACATTCTTTTGGACGGTAAGGATTTGGTGCACAGGCACTTAGGGAGCAGAGGAAGTGGATGCCAAGGGCCCCGGGAGCGGGGTCCACACGCCATTGGTGCTACGTTAATCAGACAGGTCGTGTCAGCAGTTCCAGCCCTGGGAAGAGGAGGGGGGGGGTGTTATTTCTTCCACACAGGTGATGGAGGTGCCTTTGGGATGCGGGAATCGTTCTTTTCTGCTCTGAGTCATTTGTGGGTGAGGTAGGATGTTGGGATAACAGACATTCCTTTCTGCATCAGGGTGTGTGCTTTTACACAGTGAGTGTCACTAACTCAGAGGCCAGACTGATAGAAGCGGGGGGGCTCGTGTCCCATGTCAAAGCAGAAGATGCTGCTTTGTTCCATCAGCTGCAAACATGGACCCAGAGTTGCCCGGCCCAAGAGGTAGAAACTTCAGGGTTTTCCCAGAAATACCCTAATTTTATTTAGTTTTTAGTTCCACAGCGGTTTGCTACATACCTATATAAAGTCAAACTGTAAGTCAGTTATTTAAGAAAAGTTAGTCTGCAATGTGTATAAAATATCATCTATCACCCTGCGTTTTACTGATTACGTTTTTAAAGTACAGTTATTTGAGAGGTAATACAGTCACATGAGTCAGGAAACGTGTAAAAAGGTACCTCATGAAAAATCTCCCCTTTATCCAGTTCCACCCCCAAAACACTGTCATTCATTTCTTTTTCCTTCTTCCAAAGTTTACAAACAATGAATAAATGTTTTCTGGACTGGCTTCTGCCATTTACCATAATTTTTGAAAATTGAAGTATAATTGACATACAACATTAAATTTGAAAATCTTGTCTTTTCCCTGCTCCCCCAACGCTCCTTTTTAGAAAAAAGGTTACAAGATATACAGAGTGCCGAATCACTTTTTTCTAATTTCCAGCATCTCTTTCCCTTGATTTTCAAACGTTGCTAACTCATTTACAAAATGTTAAAGCGCTGTGTGGAGTGAGCACACCCCTTCCTTCTCTTGGTGGTCCGTCTGCAGGCTGCCGGTTTGCAGTCTCTGCTCTGCTTGAGGCTGTACGGCTTTCCTTGGTACCTCATATTGGTGCCTTCTGGGCTCAGGAACCCTCGACTGGGAGTGTGGGATGACCAGATCCCACCTCTCAAATCTTGTCTGTTGGGTTCTCCCCAAACCCCAGATCTTGCTGCTTTACTGCCTGCAAAACGCCCTCTGTTCATTTTTCATTTCCTTTATCAACTACGAAGGGACTCTACAAAGGGACTCATTCTTTTTTTTTTTTTTAAATATTTATTTATTTGGCTGCATCGGGTCTTAGTTGCAGCGTGCGGGATCTTCATTGCGGCATGCGGGCTTCTCTAGTTGCGGCACGTGGGCTTCCCTCTAGTTGTGGTGCAGGCTGCAGAGCGCACGGGCTCAGTAGTTGCAGCACGAGGGCTTAGTTGCCCCGCGGCGTGTGGGATCTTAGTTCCCCAACCAGGGGTCGAATCCATGTCCCCTGCATTGGAAGGGCGGATTCTTAACCACTGGGCCACCAGGGAAGTCGCCCGGGACTCATTATTTTTGGAGAAAAATTTGAAGGAGAAGCAGCCCAGCAAAAATCCCTACTTGTGCAGCCGCCTCCTGAGATGCCCCGTCTGTGTTTCTGGTCTGTTTCTTTTCAGTCTCTTCTTACACGTGCCTGTTTTACATACACTCTAACTTACATTATAGTAAAGTATGTATCATGTAAATGCAATTGGATCCCAAGGTGTTCGAGAAGGCAGCTGGGTGTCTCCCCCTCTCCCTGCCTTTACCATCTCAAGCATGATATCTGGTCTGTGCTCTCTCCCCTCGAGGTCTTCATCTGCCCAGCCTGTCATATAAACCCATCGTCCGAACGATTTTTTGGGGGTGCAGACCTACTAGCACCCCTACAACCTTGTTTGCGTTGGTGTTGGCATGTGTGTTGGGGAGGGAACTTCGGCCATCTTTGGCATAAATTTTTCATTCTGTTAACCAAGAGTCACGTGTATGACTCAGAGAAGACGGAATTATGCAGGAGAAATAGTGGGGTTGGAAATGAGACCAGCTCTATCGAATTCTTCCACAGTGGTTATTGGAGATTCCCATGGACTGGAGGCAAAACAGACTGGTAGAGAAAAAAGACTCTTCACTCGAGAAACAAGAACATGGGGCAAAGGAGAATAAGGAGCTTGCTTGAGATCATGCTCCGGTGTGGAGAGGATGTGAAGCCCCACAGAGACGGACACTCGTTTTCTTTTTCTAAGGACTGGGCTTTGGAATATCAGAAAAGGCTCTGGGGTGTGTGTGGGGTGTGTGTACGAGGATATTCTTTGCCAGCATGGCGTATGTTACTCAGACAGTGGAAGCAAACAAATGTCCATCGGTGGTTACCTGAACGCTGGTCCAGCAAAACTATGAGATGCTGCCCTGGAGTCAGGAATGACGAAGTCACTCCAGTGGTGTGGACACGACACGGTGTGACTCGTCATTTTCTTTGCATGAAAAAAGTAAGTTTCAGGATAACATGGATAGCATACTCCCATTTTTATGACCCTCTCCCCCACAAGAAGTATTTTTGCACACTTGTGCATGTAAATACATGGAGGTCTGGAAGGTTCTTCACCGAAGCTAGTGTTTATCTTTGGAGCTGGGGGTTGCCTTTTATTCTTTTTTTTTTTTTTTTTTTGGCGCCCCGCGGGCCTCTCACTGCTGTGGCCTCTCCCGCTGTGGAGCACAGGCTCCGCAGGCTCAGCAGCCATGGCTCACGGGCCCAGCCGCTCCGCGGCATGTGGGATCCTCCCGGACTGGGTCACGAACCCGTGTCCCCTGCATTGGCAGGCGGACTCCCAACCACTGCGCCACCAGGGAAGCCCACCTTTTATTCTTTTAAGTGTTTTTTATCTTCATGTGCAGAGACCTCTGTCTTAAGTCACCTCAGTGTGCCTCTACGGAAGTTAGAAAGGTATAGGAAACTACATAGATCAGACGTGCATGCAGGGTGTTTGAAACCATTCAGAATAGAGTTGCTCCCTCCACAGGGGGAGGCCACATTGGTTCTTGGGGCTGGTGACCGAGGATCAAAATGTTGAACGCAACTTGATGGTAGGTACTGTACCCTTTTCTCTTCCTAGTATGTATTCTGTACATTAGCACCAGTGATGCTGACTCCAGGGTCTCAGGAAATGCAGTGGGGTGAACCGTGGGGGCTGGGATGACCTGGAGGGCTGCCACCCTTCTAAAAGAGGGCCTGACCCCGGTCCTAGCCCATGTCTCCTCTCTGATATGACGCTCAGAATTTCCAGGAGAAGCCAGAAGGCCTGACTTCCAATGTAAGCAGCTGAATCACCTGGTTTCCCTGGGACTCTGACTGTAGAGAGGAGACAGGTGGGTTACCAGCAGCCTCTGGCAGTCCTGAGGTTGTTTATTTAGTTATTTAGTTAGTTAGTTAGTTAGTTGTGCTGGGTCTTAGTTGTGGCAGGCAGGCTCCTTAGTTGCAGCTTGCCGGCCTGTAAGTTGCAGCACATGGGATCCTTAGTTGTGGCATGTGAACTCTTAGTGTGGCACGCGTGTGGGATCTAGTTCCCTGACCGGGGGTTGAAACTGGGCCCCCTGCATTGGGAGCACGGAGTCTTAACCACTGCGCCACCAGGGACGTCCCAGCCCTGAGGTTTCTCACTAGCTTGTGACCCCTTTTATAGCCGAAGTTTCCTGTGATGGTTCAGAGACAGGAGGAGATGCTTGTCTTGTACAAGTTCTTCCTCTCTTTCCAGGGGCTGCCGAGAAGGGAGTTTGGGGTCAGACAAATTAGGTAGCATCTGTTTCTAGGAGACTGTAGCTGATTTCCCCTAAATCCCCTAGATTTTTATGTAGAGAATCAATTTCCCGTTCTTGGCTAAAGTACATTTTGAAATGTCTCCAACCACCCTGAGAGTCCTCTCATTTCAAACCCAGCCGTGAACTCAGTGGTTCAAAATGAGGGCGGGGTGGCCAGACGGTTGAGCTCTTGCTGCAACTTCTCTGAGAAGCTGTGTAATTGGAACAAGCTTTCCTGAGCCTCAGTTTCCTCACCTATAAAATAGGGACAATCATGTCTACTCCCTTGGCTTGTTGGGAGGTTCAGTGAAGTTCAGCAAGTAAAATGCTTCAAATAGCTCCTGACACATAGAACATTCTCGGGAAATGTTCTCATTTTAATTAAAAAATTCTGCTACTAGTGCCATTGTTCATTGTGTGGATTACGTTTTAGCTTTTGGTAACTTTTTTCTTGATAATAATATGTTAGGGAGAGAAATTCCTCAGGTGACTGCTGAAATAATCCATAAAATTGTATGAAGACCAAATAACCTAGATTTTTTTTGTTGTTGTTAAGATGCAATCTACATGCCATAAAATGCACAGATACTAAGTTTTCAGTTCACTGTGTGTTGACATTTGTCAGCACCCATGTCAGCACCACCTTGTTGGTCAAGACCATTCCATCATCCCGGAAGTCCCCTCTTGCCCCTCTCCAGTCAGCCCCCTCCCCAACCAGAGGGAACGGCTTTTCTGATTTCTCTCAGAATTTTGCTTTAGTAAATCTATTTTTGACCTACAGCTTTATAGAAGAGTCTTAGCACCTTCAGAATTTCATGTCTGTTCACCGTCACCACCTCTGATTTCCTTACAAGCTCAGAAAACCCCCCACTCGCATTCAAGCCTCTTTCTCAGTATCTGTGGCTCTTAAGGACCTCTGAAGTTAGACTGGTGGAATTTATTTCTGGACTACATGTGCAGCTCTTTGTAAAGCAGTTTCTAGCTTAAGATGTGGCACGTCCCTTGGGATTGATGAGGACCGTGTGTGTGTGTGTGTGTGTGTGTGTGTGTGTGTGTGTGTGTGTGTGTGTGTGTGTG